TCGCCAGCCGATGGACAGCGATGCTTCGATTGAGGAAGGGCATGTCCTCCGGTCTCCATGCAAAGACAACGCTAAAAAGGACAAGGACCCGGACGATCTTCTCCTTCAAGCCGACCGGGAGCCCGGTCCCAATCTTGACCTTCCGCTCCGGCCTCTCAGGGTCAATTTGGATTTCCTCCACTTCTGAGGTGGGTTCAGCGCGGAGCTGACCCTCCTCATACTTCATGGCTTTGTTGCTGATGGTGTGGACCCTCAAGTTTTTCTGACCGATTTGTTTGCAAGCTTTAAGATAGCAGCTCCTTGCAATCCACTGGTCTCCCCTGGCAACTCCGACACCATTCGGAGTGGGAAACTTCATGCATAGGTGCTCCTGGGATATCACACATCTGAGGTCTTCCAGGACCGGCCTACCCATGATGATCTTATGCGCACAAGTTAGGCGTACAACGATAAACTCGATATCTAACTTGGATACGCAGGGCTCGGAGCCCACCATCACGGGGAGGACTATGCTGCCCTCCGACTCAATGGATTCCCCGGTGAAGCCCGAGAGTGGGGTTCTTACTGGGATCAAGTCCTTTCGGTCCAAGCCCAGATCTTGGAAGGTGTAATAGTACATGACGTTAACAGAGCTCCCATTGTCCACCAGGACTCAATGGACGAACGTGTTGTTGATTTCGACCTTGATCACCAAGGCATCCCTGTGCGGTGGAGGCATCGGTGGCAAATCTGCGTCGGTGAAGAAGATGGGATCCCTCTTCACCCTCTTGTCGGGGGGAGCCCTGGTTATCTCCCCGACGTACAAGGCTCGGGCCCACTGCTTCCGTTCTCCAGATGTGTCGCTTCCCTGGGGTCCCCCGAATATGAACGAACATCGATGGTACTTCCGGGAGTCGTTCCCTAGGTCGGCATCGTCCTCCTCGGACAAGGTGCCGAACTCTCGCTTCTTGGAAGGCTGTTTCTCATTTGACGTGGTAGCTTGGTCGGACCGCTGCCACGTCAGACTCCTCTTCTGCGGGATGCCTCCTTGTTTGCCCACGAATTGGCCCAGGTACCCTTTCTGGATGAGTTCCTCAATTTGTCGTCGGAGAATGACACAATTATCTGTATCATGCCCTGCTCTCCGATGGAATCGACAATATTGGTCGTGGTTGCGCTTGGCGGTCACCACATCACACCCCTCCGGAAAGTCAACTAAACCTTGCTCCTCCGTGTAGTCGAGGATGGCCCGACCGGCCGAGCAAGTGGAGTCAATTGCTTGACGGGCAGGAGCGGTCCGCTCGGGACGTCCGCCTTGCCCTTGCCTTTGCTTTTATTACCTTTGTACTTATTGTTTTTGGTGCCGGATTTGCCGTCAGCTTTCTCAGCACCCGAACCAGCTTCCTTCTTCTTCTCTTCTTTTGCACCTTCTTCCTCAAATCTTTTCCTCTACAAGGCGTCCTCCGCCTCGGCTTGATGGTCGGCACGGCCGAGCGCCTCCTCGTACGAGGTGGGGGGACTTCTGGCGAAATCTTTGTAAAGCTCACTCGACCGGATAGAGTTTGTGAGCATGGCCACCCCGGTCCTGTCATCAAGGCCCTGAACCTTGACTGACTCGGTCTTCCACCTCGCTAAGAAGGTCGACAATGATTCCTTCTTCCCCTATTTTAGGCTGAACTGGTGGCTGAAGTTCTTCTTGACGACTCGGGAGCCCACGAACCTCAAAAGAAAGCGCTGAGCCAACTCACGAAAAATCGTGATACTCCCATCGGGTAGAGAGTCGTACCATTCACGAGCCGCCCCATCCAAGGTGGCAGAGAAACCGCGGCATCGGATGGCATCTTCGTACCCCACCATCACCATGTAGGAAAGGTACCGAGATACATGATGTTGGGGGTCAGAAGCGCCCATGTATGCTTCAATGGCGCAGGGCTTGTAGCCCCTCGGCAACGGCGCATCCATGACTGCCCGGGTGAAAGGTTCGGGTATCCGGAGGTCGGCCGTGTAGGGCTCCCCCCCGATGACCCTCCTTCTCAACTCGTCAAGGCGCTGTCGTAGATCTTCCACCTCGGCCGGCGATGGGTTCCCCCGGATAGCCCCAGCACGGGGCTGGGCATGTCCAGCGGTGCCTCCAAGTCGCCTGTGCGCGTGAGGTCGGGCCCCCACGTTTTGCCTCTCCATGGAGCCAGTCCGGCTACTCGCTCGGTGAGAGTGGCGAGAGGACTCGCCTCCTTCCATCTGCATTGAGTGCCCCTGCTGGGTGCCCCTCCCCGCCTGCCGATGGGGTCAGCTAAGCTGATGGGAGACTTCTTCCCTCCTGTTTTGGTTGGATCCAGAGCGTCGCTCGTCACGCCGCCTGGAGGACACCTCCACATCTGCCGACGTCTGTTGACGGGCAGGCTCATCCACGTTTCCGCCAGACACCATCTGTTGGAAACCTTGAGCCAAGGCCCCCAGAACCCGAGTCGCCTCCTGTAGGGCTTCCACCCCGACATTGAGTCGAGCCGGATCCATGCACGGAGCATGACGCCGGCCTCCCCCCGGCTATGGACCGAGCACTCACCTTGGGTGTGGTTGGGCGTCGCCCTCAGGTTTTCATGGTCTGACAATTGGTTCCGAAGGTCGCCTTGGCGGACCGCCCTCCTGTCATGTCCATGGTTGTCGAGGGCACGCTGGCGGCCCGACCGGGTGGATTCTTCATGGTGGACTGAGACATGGTCACATCGGGACGAGATTCCGGTCATCTTCCTGTGCGATCCCTACTCAAGTGATGTGAGAGACAATAGCGGCTCTCAACGAGAGCACCAATGTTGGTCCAAAATAGGACGCTCGTAGGCTTTTAGGAAAGCTACATACGACACTCAAGCAGGAATCAAGAAAGTGATATGAGTAAGGAAAGAAGCTAAAAGTGTTTAGTTGCCAGAAATAGCATATCTCATTTGAAATTCGGACTTGCCTTTTATAGGCGATTTACAAATAGTAACTGTCAAAGATACTAATGGCTAATTAACTACAACATTAATACAGAATTAAACACATAATTAATAGCGCATTGATTGTTGGCCGTTACTCTTCCTGGCTAGCTGGCAGGTTGGCCTGACTAGCAGGCAGAACGCTTGAGCTCCTCGAGCGACAGGCTTCCGGTTGGGCCGACAGGCAGGCTCCCCGTTGGGCTGGAAGGCAGGCTCTCCGCTAGGCTGGAGAACAGGTTCCTCGCTAGTCCGAAAGGCAGACTGCCGGTTGGGCCGGTAGGCAAGCTCTCCACTAGGCTGGAAGGCAGGCTCCCCACCGGCCGGGCTAGAAGGCAGGCTCCCCGCTGGGCTGGACGACAGGCTCTCTCGGGCTTCCGCTCCTTGATTGGCCTGATCGGTTGGGCCGACTCGAGCTCTGGGTTGCTGGGCTTAGGCCTGCTGGTCCAAGTTCGGGGCCTGGGCCGATTAGGCTCTAGGCCTAGTCCCATGACCCCATCAACTACATTAAATGCGCTTCCCGCCAGTATCTTGGTTTCCTGCCATAATTCGTACGAGCGTCCTGGCGAGCGTAGTGTGAGCTCCTTGATGGGCCAAGGATGTGCTCATGTGCCTCTGATCGTATTCCATAAGTGTGAGGACAAGTGTCCTCCATACATTCAAGTCTGGGTTCTCTAATGTACAAGGGTGGGGATCCGTACGGCTGGTGTATGCTCTAGCCGAGGGTCCTAGAACGCTACCTGGCTTTCATTGGGCAAAGGGCCCCTGAGGCCGAGCGTCCGCAAAAAGGTCCCAATGTTTAGTGGGTAATGGGCCAACCTGCTATCGGACCTATTAACCCAACATAGAGTTATGCACCGTTAAAATTTGATGTGCTGTGGTGTAGTATGTGATGTTTAAAAGCGCTGCACAGAGGTAAAAATAAGCGCCGCATATCACAATTTTTTCACCGATGTCTTCTTTTTAAGCTTCTTATTTGGCTTTTTTGGACATCCCAGGTAAAAATTAATTAACATATATACCACACAATTATCATCAATAACATCATTATTTTATTTATACTCAGCAAAACTATTTTTCAAAGTATACTTGAGTCACCTTATTTAATTATTATTTAAATAATCATTTCATCTTTCAACGAGAATATTAAGTGAGGGTAGACCGGTAGAGGTACATGTACCAATACAATGGCCCTTCCCATTGAAATGCCTATTAAGACGTCTATTCAACAAATTTTTAAACCAATTCTAGAATAGATTTATGTAAAAAATGTTACTCATTGATAATATAGCCCAATAATAATATACATTGATTACTTTACTCGATTAAGTCTATTTATTCAGTGTACAAAATAAACAGTTTCATATACAAATATCACTTAGTATGTTTTTATTTGAATTGTGGTTTTATGGTCTGATACTCTGATCTGGACTGCTTTGATAGATGTATGGTCACTATATTTTACAATAGTCGAGGTCTTATCTGGTCTGATCTGAGGCTAAAACAAGTCTAAGTAAAAACATCCGTAATCCAAGCTTATTGTCCCACACCATTAAAACCAACATATAAAGTAGGATTACTCTTCCTATCAGGTTGATATTTTAGGATGAAATCTCAAGACTTGTAAATAAAGTAGACATTTTACTCCTACGGGATCAGACTAGACTTAAACAGACCAGACCAGACCAAATTTGGACATCTTCTTTTTATTTATAAATCTTGCACACGGAGAAAGAGAGGGAGTACACAAGAGAGGAGCCCATGAGTTTTGGTTAAATAATATATTTATATTTGGCTTTAACCAATTTGTACGTTTGTTAGAAGGAATCCAAGGTTTTGTTTTCGGTCTCAACATAATGTTTTCTTTTGGACTGTTTTCAATCTCAAACCAGATCAGACTAGACCTAAACAGACTAGATCAGACTAGACTTAAACAGACTAGACCAGACCAAATTTGGACAGTTATAAAATACACAGAGATCAAACATTTACCGACAGACCAGACTTAAACAGACCAAATCAGATCAGACTAACAAATTACAGTCCAAAAGAAAATATCTTTAGTGGCCTCCATACTCCTCAGTGGCAAACAGTGTATGCCATCTCGTAGATTGGTAATAAAACTAAGCAAATATGGTAGTTCCAGCCTCCAGGTAAGATGCCCTATACAATGTATGTCCCCTAATACATTGGTAAAAATTAAATTAAACAAATCACGCTAGCAATTACACCAACTCATAATAAACCCTATGTCCCTATTTCAATTCAGAAATCACATTAACCAAGTGAATCAGGCAGCTGTTATTATCTCAGTTAGTATGCAAGATCAACCTCCTCGCGACTAGGCGAACACCGGCGTTTTGTTGATAGTCATATGCATCAAAGGAGATGTAAGCATCCAAACAAGTTCCCGGGGTAATCAAGGCAACCAATTCTTCAACATTATATCCATTCAATACAATCCTTTGAACACTGGAAGTTTCTTTCTGATATATATCTGTCACCCAGTGCACAGCATCACCATTTACTACAGTTGGTAAGCTGCATTTATTTTTACACACTGGTCAATTTATGAGGCAACAAAACACACTTAAGGAGAGAGACCAGAAAAATACAACACATACTAAACAGCACCTTAGATAGCTTAAACATGATACTAGACTCGGGACGTGTTCACTTGATTTATTCTATTGACCAGACCAATCAGACTTGGATAATGCTCCCCCCGTTCCTAATTATTTTTCCCAGTATGGTTTCACGTAGTTTAACAAAACATGTGCAGGGGTTTGAAAAAGTAGAGGGTTTTGGCAGTGCTGTACACTATAAAAGTGCATTGTAGCCTCTATTGACTATTGAGGTAGAATCTTTTTCCAAAAAAAGCGAAGCAATTATTTTGGAAAACATCTTGAAAACGAAAGTGAGACAATTATTTAGGAATAAAGGGAGTGATATAAGACATAATATCAAACATTCAAACCAAAATGAATTTAAACAAACTAGTCCTGAACAGACTTAAAAGACCAGAACAATTCCAGACCTCTACATTTCAGTCCAAATGAACAGGTCCTCAACAGGTAGCAATACATTTAATATCCATCCTATCTCATTACAATTTAGAAAACATGAAGATATAAGCAAAAGAGAAGAAGCCAATTAGGTCAGTCATGTGCCTTTTTACTATTTATCCAGTGTCCAAACGTATAGAGATAAAGGTTGGGTGAAAAGTTCAAAGATCAATGCATCTAACATTCCTACTACATGTAAGTCTAGTTTGGACGAGCCTTTTCTGGCTTATCTTCCACTGCATTTCTCTGACTTTGACTGTGGAGGACCATAGGGCTGTGAAAAACGTTCATGGCTTTTGAAAGTTTGTTTTCACCATATTTTCATATGTTATTGCCTATTTCCAGTAGCTTATTAGAATAAATAAAAGTCAAAGGCCAATATATGTTGTTTTAAAGTTATTAAGATATTGGGAAGTTCTTAATAGTCATGAAAAGAGGCATGCAAATGTTACTATAGCATTATACCCAATAGTCGGACACATGAAATTTAAGGAATGAACATAATGTCACTTACTGAAAACGGACAGTAGGGAATTTCATGAAACCAGGCTTTCTGGTGACCAGAGGCCTCCACTCAGAGCTGCTACCAGAATCCACAGTTAGACTATGAGCATGGTTATCAACTGCATCCAGGATCTGACATAGGCTTCCAGATGCATCCACGACAAAACTCAACCGTGGAAGGAATTTAGTACTAATTCCAAAACGCACTTTAAGACATTTAAAATGAATTTGCAATTCAGCATGATTATGCAATATCTTTATCTTTTGTATTCCACGATAGGATGGAGCAAGAGCTACAGATATAGAAGGTACATAAATCTTTTCTGGTTCTAGGAAGCTAGAGTAACCACCGGAAGCCTCACTTCCAACTTCTGTAGAAGAAGCTTGGGAAGGTGAACCATTTTCTTCTTCATTCATGTTATCTGACTCAAGGAATGTGTTCTCCAAATTAAGACTGAGTGGGCTCATATTAAAAGGGTCTGACCTGGCAGCAAAGAATTCGGCATGATCTGACACCTCTTCTGTTCTGCCTAAAGTCATAATTGATGACGTTGTATGGATTTCCATGCTACAATTTTCAGTTGGTGTTATCGCATTTTCTATCATAAGACTTGATGAGGGTGTATTTGCATTCAATGTTGTTCCTTCTCGAGAAGCTTTGGCATTGCTATGACTTCTTGGTGTAGCATTTGGCGAAACCCATGTATTTTCTGTAGTATTGTCAAGGAGGCTGGACTCCTAGTAGTAAGAAACATTTCAAAGATATCAGAACTCGTGATTGAAGGAATTGAAATTTCAGGTAAGAGTTTTTCATTTACCAATAAAAGGACTGTTGCACAGCACTTGAGTACTTCAAAATTCATCCGGACATCTTCTAAGCTCCTGAGATTAAGAAAGAGAAATTTCAGTAAAAGCACACATCTACATGTTATTTAGAGCTGTATGTGATATCAAAAGCACACAAGCAGAAGCAACAGTAAATCAACGTTTCCTGAGCAATGAAGCATAATTAGATCAGCTATATTTAATTTTTACATTTCCGACAGGTAAACGCTAAATAGGCATTCATTGATTTTTTTATGTAAGACTAACTTAAGTCTAGGATGGTAATCTCTTGCCAGAACCAATTTAGCATGTATATGTATATATGGAAAGAGAGACAATATTAGAAATTTAGAATGAGTAAGCTTCAATTCTACGTTATAAGATAACTAAGGTAAACTGTGACCATACAAATATAACAAACTTTTAGGAGCAGAGAATGCATTGTCACCTATGTGCTTGTTGTCCAAGACCAAAATAATTAGCTAGAGAGGCCATCTGCAATTAGTATGTAACTGAATCAGCATTTAAAGTTTTAAACAAGATGGAAATGATGAGTTTGAATCACTTTAAGATGGGGAAAAATATTATTAATTAAAAACTCTGTAAGAAATATGCAGACAGTTTTATGAAAATAATAACTATTCAAACCTAAAATTCAAAATACCTCAGAATTTAGTTGTGATATATGACGCATTCCTTTGTGCACAAAATCACATAAGTAAAGGTGCTAAGTTGCGAACATTCTTAAAACCATGTGGTTTGACCATTACAAAAGCGAGCACTATCAATAAAACTGACAAGTCGATAACAATAAAATTAGAACAATGGTACATAAGCAGCCAAAGTTTTCATATATATAACTAGATCCACCGATTTTGGACTCAAAACTGTCTGTTAGGGAAGCACAAACAAGGTGCAAACCATAAGTGCCTTTTAGCAATTTTACATTATTTTGTTTTTAAGTATGGAGTCATGATAGTAAAAAAGTATTTTACCTTCATATTACCTGCTCTCCTGCCAAAGCGCTGAGTCAACAACACAAGAGAGTCAATTGCTCCCTTAGGTTCTGGTGCTGGCCTATTTATAGCAGCAAATGCCTCCCGAATTCGTGGACAGTCAAACTTAAGTATGTTATGCCCTGCCCATATTCTCCCTAATAAAAAAGAATCAAAACAAATAATAATGAGCACTCAATAATTAAGAAAATAACACAAACAAACCAGAATATCATGTGACCAACTGACAATTAAAGGCGATCCACTCAAGCACTCATATCCACATGTTACAAAATACAGACCACCATAAAAGACCCAAACTCACTATTTCATCCAAATGTTAAACCACCATCAAATAAGGTTAAAGAAATTGTCCTAAATAGTAGTAAAAACATTGGAATTCCAAAATAGGAACACTATGTTTTTAGTTCTTAAATAGGGGTAACTACTACCATTCTGGGAACAAAAATGCTAGGTGTACCCCATTTTGTGTACCTCATTCGCACACGCTGTCTGTCTATGCAGACAGAGTTGTCTCTATACAGACAACTTTGTCTGCGGCAGACAGTGTGCGCGACTGGGGTACACAAAATGGGGTACCCCTAGCATTTCTCTTCTGAGAAATTAATGACATAAAATGGCAGTACACTCACATATTTAATGCCTGATATTGTCAAACTCGAAAAGAACATAGACTCATATGTCAAGAAATCAGTTCACATCACTATGTCAAGAAACTTTACCAAATATGTGAGCAGCATAAAAAAAACATTCCCTCTATCCCTAAATAAAAGCATCTCTTCTTTTTCGGGCCTACCCAAAATAAAAATCTCCTTTCCTTTTTTGGCAAAAAAAACAGTGTACAAACCGTACCAACCAAGACCACTTTCTTAAAATGTGCGGATAACAAATCGATACCTTTACATAGGGACGGATGGAGTATCATGCTTTGAAGTTTGAAAAAATCAGCTTATATGCTAGGATTTCATTCACTTCCAAGTTCGACAAAAATAGCTAAAACATAAGAACCCTATTTGCGATTACATGGGAAAGCAAAGAAACGGCCAAATTGTGCGGCGAAGGGGTTACCGTTTAGAAAGTCGTAGACTTTGTCGGCAATATCCGCAAAAGCAGGGGCGGAAACGACATCATCTTTGCGAATACCGTTGCAGAGAACAGAGCGCGCAGTGATGAGAGAGAGATCAGCGGGTCGGACCAAGGTGGAGAAACTTTCCAGCTCAATGAGCTTCCTGGGGCAAACCAGGATCCCTCCGAACTCCAAAAGCGCGTGGCCCTGGCCGGATCGGGTCGGGATCGTCGTCTCTACGTCGAAAAAAGCAATCTCTGGCATATCCCGGCCCTCCATCTTTAGAAGTTCCCAAAGCGTAACAATTGAGAAGATATGAAAAGTGGGAACTAGAATGCAAGTGGCGCGAAATTGAAGAATGTATCTGCAACAGCGATGGCTTCATATATTAATAATAACTTGTTACTCCGTACGCATGAGGATGGGTTTAGGTTTGGGTTGCTTGTTGGGGAGGTAAGGTTTTCGGATTTTGGGAGTTAAACCTCAGGAGAAGGAAACGTGTGAATTGTGAACTGCGCAGACCACTGTATCTAAGGAAGCATCTGCCACTCTGCCAGACATGACGCCTATTGCGTGGCACCTGAAATAAAGTTATTCTAAATGCACTAATTTTCATATAATTATTTCTTTATTTTATTAATAAAATATATTTTAAATAAAAATTTTACATTGACGGGTGGTATATCCGGGGTACCGCTGAGGGGTACGTAGAGAGAAGTCGGAACAAGTAAGAGAAAGAGTAGGTGTATATTAAATGAGCTTGTTGTTCCGGGAGCCCTTACAATGAAGAAGTGGCTAGCTATTTATAGCTGCCATAAATGCTAGGTGCAATAAATGAGGGTACACGTGGCAAATAACCAGCGGTGGATGGTCAACTCAGCTAGAGTGGCGTCGACACAACATGTGGCCGCATTCAATGCGGTAGTTTGGATGTGACGTTGCATTTAATGCGGCAATCTGGAGCGTGCAGGGAGGAGATATTGTCGGGGTAGTGTCGAAGGCCGTACGTACCCCGAGAGCCTTCATGTGCCGGAGCCCGTACGTAGTTGGGGACCGTCATGTGCTGAAGGTCGTACGTACCCCGGGGCCATTTGGGCCTTGCTGGCGTGCTGGGGACGTACGTCCCCTGAAGTAGGGGGAAAGCATCTCCAGATGCCCCAAGTTCTTGAGGACGTCCGTATTGCCTTTAGCCGACGCTCCTGACGTGACAGTGACTTCCTTGGCATGGTTTCCCGCCAATGGGTGGCGACGATCGTCCCCAGGCATTGGCTGCCTGGTGTCCTGTGATGCCTTCCAAGTTGCTGAGCCAGTGTCTCCTGACGTACGTCTCATGGTGTGCCGCTTGCTTAGATACCCCATGAGGGAAGGTCGTACGTCGTCATCGCTTACTGTCATTCTGGTGCAGGAGCCGAACGTAGCCACATAAGGCTTGGGCTTTGGGGACGGCCGTCCGGTGAGCCTCAGGAGTTAATGGGCCGGTCCTTTTTGTAGTAGTGGAAGTATGTGGGTCGGGGCTTCCTGGACCATATACTCCATCATACTCCCTCCGTCCCCCAATTAAATTACCACTTTCCTTTTTGGGCAGTCCCTAAATTAAGTTCACACTTCCTTACTTTCCTTATTTGGCAAATTATCTACATCAAAACAGTTTCAAACTGTGTAAAACAGTGCCAAACAGTGTTTGAACAGTGCAAAACAGTGCACTCCACAGTAAAGTCAAATTTATTTTCTTAATACGTGTGAAGTCAAACCGGGAACTTAATTGGGGGACGGAGGGAGTACATAACATCAGCAGAATTCGTCAATCCAGACATTCAGCAGAATCACTCGATTCGGCCGATTTTGATATTACCAACAAACTCTAAGATGTACTGATTATGAACTCAATTAATCAAATTCATTTTGGAGGGACTTTTGACTGTTTTCAAAAATGATCGAGAATTTTCGTATTGTAATAAGTACTGTTAGATAGTAATGTAACTAATTATATGTTTTTCAAAGGCCAAAACAGTTTTTGTTGTTCACATAAGACTGTTGAAGAATGCATGCGTCACTGAATGTATATAGAGATATACATATTACTCGATACGAACTTTGAGATATTAAAGTGCATCTTAAATAAATACATTCAAGATTTTGAACTAATTATTTATCTATTGTACATTTGAACTGAAAAGCCTTGTGATGCTATTTTTTTTAATAATGACTATTAAATTAATAATGACCAATACTGTTACAATTTTGAAATATATGCAACCCTCTGCCTAATATATAAACTTTCTGACCTACCATACAATGCTTCCTAGTGGTTATTATGGGCGCTAACATTAGCGCGCAATGTCAGATTATTCCCAGTCAGCCACCTCAATTGCCTTCGAATTTGTGTGGTCTGGCAGAAAACATGTACTGTAGTACTTAAGCTAAAAGTTGTTGCTTGAAGATGAAAGTTCTCAGATAAGAACTTAAACTTGAATTCTTTTGAGAGATCCTCTTATTAGATATCTTGTTTCTAGATCACAAATGAATTCCTAAAGTCTATTTATATAGTGTAGATGGCACAACTGGTCAATCAACATTGGTAGGTAGCTATACATGCCTTTAATCAAAGAATTGGTGAGTAAAAAGCCAATTTCAAATATGCTTTCTTTTATAGCTTTACCGTAAGCCATGAACTCCATGCTTCCTTAATTAATTATTACCTATAATTATCATTGCATATTTTGAAATGCTTATTAAGGCTTGCTTATAATCCTTGATTAGATGAAAGAGAACTTGATCAAGGCCGGGATATATAAGGCCAGATATCAATTGTGTTGAAACAATATATGTGAAATATTAAAAATGATTTTTTTAATTGAAAGTTGAATTGATTTTGTTAAATTACTGGTATGTACGGTAGCCATGGTTTTACCTAAATCCAATCTTAGTTATGTCCTAATTTACTTTGTAACTTAATTTATTACTTATTATCTATCTTCATTCTTTAAACCATTTAAAGATTGATTCTTGAATTGCATTTGAGCACACATTCATTTTTATATAATTTGTAACTTGTCTAATATTAGATGCATCTTGAACGCCCACTTTTATGTATAATTTCATATTAATATTGATGATATAATATAGAAGATACAATGTTTTAGTTTTATTTACCCTATTCCATGTTTTTTCATGTTTCAAATACCACGTTTCAAATCAATAATAAATAAGTAATAATTTTCACTAAATCTTTAACAATATTATTTAAATATATGCTTTATTCATAAAGTATAAATAATGTCAATACATAATTTAAAAATGGATTTGTATGAAGATGTATCTAAAAGTGTTATCGATGTTCTGCATGTGATTGGTACAATATTGTCTAATCTTTTTAAAAACTATAACTTTGTATCTTTTTACATAACTTCTATGTAATTTTGAAAGGGGCGTGTGATATGAAGTTTTATTGAAAAGAGATTTCACAATGTAGCGCGTAATACCCATACCAACATACTTTATTTTCAAAAACTAAAGGGTCTTCAAACACAAAAAATTATTGTATTATGTGTGATACGAAATGAAATGCATTTTAACATGATATTATCTTCTATATTGTAGGTCAAATCCAAAATGATTGATTATATTTTTGAATTAAAATCATATTCTTTATAAAATGTAAAATCGTAGGATCTTGGGCCCGAAAAAGGTGTCCAAATATCTATTATTCTCAAATGAAATGTAATTACGAAGTATTAATTAGTTAAGACCATGGATTGTGGGGTTTTATTATTGCATGGTTAAATTCTTGAGTATGATCTTCATCCGGTTCCCTGAATTTTTAAGTCTTACTTTTCAAGTTTGAATACCATCAAATGCAGAGTGTAAAATAAATTGCTGACTATTCAATGTTTGAACTAAATCCTCCTATTTTTTGTAATAAGCAATCTAAGAGCCCGTTTGGTAACCCTTTTTTTCGGCTTATCAGACTTATTAGCCAACTTTTTCACCAAACACGTAACTTTTGGTTTCGCGCGTTGAAGTTTGTAATAAGCAGAAAAAGTAAGGTTCGAGTTACTTTTCTGGCTGTATTGGCTGAAGTTACTGTAGAGAATCATTTTAGCTATTTTTCATATAATTTTTTATTGAATTTATTAACCAAAAGTATTTTAAATATAATTTTTTCATGAATCAGTAGAATCAGCCAATACAACCACTTCAGCCAGAACTTCATAAATTTCAGCAGAATAAGCCAATTCAGCTAATTTTAGTGTTACCAAACGGGCTCTAAATGTTAACTGAACATAAATCTATTTTTCAAAACATGCCCTATATCCGTCTTAATGTATTTATTTTCAATGTTTGGACCTTCAAGAATTGTTGTTGATCTGCCACACTCAAAATATTTTTGTTTTCGAACCCTTGGGTATATAAAATTATATACTAAAACGGTCTTCGCTTTACCTTTCAGATTTACCTTTTGTTGTTTCCATTGATTATGCGTGTTTGAGAAACACACTTTCCCACAATCTTGCCAATTATATTTGTGTTTATCAAACTGTTAGAAAGAATACAAAAGAATAAGAAACCTTAGATGAACACTACTAAAAAATCACATGGAATTCTATTTACATAATATTCAAAAAGAGTTTAAAACATATGATATACATCTTCATCATGCGAAACAACTTCTAGTGTCTCACCTATCCTGCCAATTTTGGTGAGTGACCTTAGATGAACCCTACTAAAATGACTTGAAATTTCAATTTGCATAGTTTCCAAAGAGTTTTAAGCACATGATATACCTCTTCATCATGGAAAATAACTTCTATAGTGTATCCCCTCTCCTGTATCTGGGGGTGGACTCGGGTCGGGCCAACTGGCCCGGAACCGGACCGGTCCGCTACTGTGCGGGCCCGGACCGGCCCGGTGAACCGGTTGGTTGGCCGTTTCGGGCCACCTGGCCCGGTGGGATGTTGGTTCGGGCTCGGGCCCTTCAAAAGGTGAACTGGCCTGGCCAGTTCGGGTCTGGGCCGGGACAATTTTTTTTTTTTGTTTTTTTTTTAAATTTTGGGTTGGGCTGGGTATTTTGGGCCATTTGAGGTGGTTAGGGTTGGTTTGGGGTGGGGGGGGGGGGGGGGGGGGGGGTTAACTAGGAAAAGCCAAAAAAAAAATAGAACCGAGGCCCGGCCCGGCCCGGACCCCGGGGTTACCCGGGCCGGTTCCGGGCCTCCCCTTCCTGAACCGAGGCCCGGCCAGGCCCAGGTCCGAACCGGTCCATCCCTACTTGTATCCCCTCTCCTGAATAGCCTATCAAACTTAAAAAACCCATACAACTCCCACTTTCAATACCAATGCTATGGTGTGTGTTGCTCTGGATGCCTAATTGATGAAGTTGGACGTATATATACTATAATTTTAGAACTGCTTTGAATATATATGAATAAAAATATCCAATGGTCAATGGCATGCAATTACTTTTAAATTTTAGTGACATGATATTTGAATAAACAATACACAATGCTAATTATAGATTTGCCTTGTTATACACAACCCATTTAGTAAGGACAACTCATATGCATTTACTATGTATTATACCATGGACAAAAGTACGTTTCATTATAACATTCAATGAAACGTACTTTTTCTCAGCCAACTACCAAGATCAAACTCTTAGCGCTTGACCTGAATTTGACCCACAACTTTGGGCGGGAAATGACCATTTTTCCTCCTGCTTTTGTATAGAGTAAATTTTTTAATATCCACATACATATTATTTATGAAAGGAATTCACCTATATTTATATGATTAGTTTTATGATCATTACATCTATCAAAGAAAAACTAAACCTGACACCAACTAACCTCTATCAATTACGGTCGTAAACCCTATGATTAGACATATAAACGATCAACTCTGAAAGAGCAACATGAATTGCAAAACACGAAACGGGCTTGACACAACTATCACTAGTCCTATAGATCCGTATATTTCTAACGACATAAAAACAATCTAAATTTCCAATCATCCCGACAAATCTAACCACATAGATCTCAACAAGAATCTAAACAACAAAATAACAATAACTATTATGATAAATTTCTCGAACCGTAGCACCTCGTTCAACCCATGACGGTGCGTCGGTGGTTCAGGAGGAGGCCGAACCATTTTTATCCTCCATCGCCGGTGGAACTCTAACATTCGCCAAACTTGTCGTTCCTCCACCCTTGATGCCACTCGTCAATGCTTAAGCCGCTGCTCACCGTCATCTTGGTCACGACACCACGGCCTCTCACGACTGAACCAAGACCTCCGGTCAGGGTTTGCACCATACTCACTTCCTCATCTTCCACAGTTCCACCCTATGCCTCATCAATCCTTGAAGACTCTAAATTGCTGACGAAGAAAACTTCACGGCACCAAACCCTAATCTGCAGACGAACTGCCCACTACCGCAAGGTTTTTTGGAAGACCTGATCTACTAGTTAATTTTGCATTTAAGAAATACTCTGTATTTTAATATCAAATACACATTAGCAAACAAATTCACGAGTGAGATATTTTTTGTTTGTGCAAATAGAGTTGGATCAAACATATGTTCAAACATAATTTCGTATGCGGTCAATATCTACAGACACATTCAACGATTCAATAATAACAATTTTATCTAAAACGCCAAGATATTTGCCACTGAGTTATTGTTTATTGCTTCACTTAAACTGGCAAGCTCTTTTTATGCACAGAATAGCCAAATGGAGAAGTGAATCACCCACCAGCATATGAGATGCTTCAAGGAAACACAATAGTGCAAAGTGGAGAACAAGATTTTACATGAAAGCAGACATTCAGCAGAAAGGATTCAAAGAAAATTACGTTCAATGGATTTCAATATATCCATAGCTATACATGAGAAAACTCACCGGTCAGGCGGTCACCAAAGATCTTAGTATGCCTATTGTCTATTTTCATTCAACTTAAGTGAACTGTCAATGTACATATCCAAACAGGTCTGTGCACACTACTTAATGAGTTTTTCTGCGCTCACTTTCTGTTAACAGTTAACGTTTCTTCAATGTAAGCATATCATAAAGCAACATCATTGGACCTTTTGCTTGTTTTGATTCCCTTAATAGCTGCAGAAAGTATCCAGTCAAGCTAAAATGAAATAGCACAGCTAATCCACAGCTAAACATAATAGAAACAGAAGAAAATCTCACAAATCATACCTTCTGCATAATCTGTGGCTCCAAACACAGCGGAACCAGCAACTAAAGCATTAGCTCCAGCCTCAATCACCTGAAAATAAGAATTGCAATAAATCACATCCGTGGTGGTGGAAGTTAACTCCATTTCATAAAAGGCAAGATTTATACTCCGTATTAGATACTTGTTACGTAATACTCAAGTGCATCAAAATACACTTCCACCTTTTAGTTCATAGATTATATATTTATATCTTAATCATTTTATCACACATATTTTCCATCATTTGCAATGGAGCCAAAGATTCACTATTTTTTGGCTTGAGAATATGATGGAATAAAGCAAAATGGCTCACTAAACTGTTTGCGCTTCTTTATTGTGAAGCAACAGTCAGTCCATGTATTTTTCGACGCGATTTTCACTATGGGTCATTCGGAAACAGTCTCTCTGTGCTTTAGTACAAGGGTAAGACTGCATACATCTGACCCCCCTTACCCCATCGTAGGTGGGAGCCTTTGCGGCACTGGGGTGATGATGATGATGATGAATCATTTTATCACACATGGTATTATACTGTTCAGGGACAAATACATTATGAAAAGCTCTATCTGTTAAGATAAAAATCGCGGTGAGATTTAGGTAGCAACTGGGTTTGATTGGTTTAAGATAAGTTATCAGAATTATCTAGCATTTGTTTTATGTTTGTCAAATATATTGGGAATATGACGGGACATTTGGCTTTATGCCAATTCCTGCAGGTTAGTGATAATATAACCTGCACAAGGAAAACAGCATATTTTGTCCCTGAGCTATGAAGTAATGGGAGAAACTGTCCTCCACTGATAAAGTTGCTGGTCATTGTACTTGAGTTTTTTAACAAGGTTGCAACATTTGTCCCTCATGGCAAAGATAGAGGGGCGAATGCCCAAGAACGTCCACATCAACTCCTTTAAATGTAGGGATAAATGCATCAAACCATGCTGGTGTTGAGTGAACCTCCAATCACCAACCAACTCGGACAAAATACACTACTTTTCATATGCACAACTTTTCACCAGTGTTGCAGAGAAAATATTCTGCAATGAGCGAATAAATATTCTGCAGGGAGAAATAGTTTCAATTTAGGCAGGTTACCTTGTAAGCATTTTTAGGACCAACTCCACCATCTACTTCAATCCAAGGGTTCACTCCCTGCAAAATAATCATGGCAATTTACATGCTTTGTATGGTGCTGTAAGTTGAGCAGATACGGTCAATGTTAAGAATACCCTTTCTGCACACATCCTTCTCAAGTCCGAGATTTTTTTGACTTGGCTCTCAATAAAGCTCTGACCACCAAATCCAGGGTTAACTGACATTATCAGCACTAGATCAACAACTGTCACGAAGAAAAAGAAGGATAGACAATTATGTTTCACCCCTATGCTCATATCACTCAATATTAGTTGAATTTTGAAGTTTGAATATCTAGAAGGAGAATAATGGTCTCACAGCACTGGTGTAATTTGAAATAGCAGTTCCTATATAACTTTATTAAGGGGAGGAAATGAACTATAACTCTCAGCAATATATTATCCCCTCAAACTCTAAAAGCTGAAGAGAATCCATACCATAGTGAGACTGTCTCTGGGATTAAAAGGATAGATAAACTTACAATCAAGAACATATTCTATTGTAGTTAAGGGGGTTGCGGGGTTGAGTACCACTCCAGCTTTAGCTCCCAAACTCTTAATCTGAATCATAAGTTCATAATCAATCATGTATCATTGCCAGAAAGCATGGACAGGGAAGACACACGTGCACATACACACACACGCAAACACTTGCTTCCTCCGTCCCAAAATGATTTTCAGTTTTAATATTCTTGGTCAACACAAATACAATTTATTCTCTAACTTCAAATATCAATTTGTATTCATTTTTGGATTGTTTTTTGCGATTCAATAAAACTTCCAGTGTAGTTTCTATATATATAAATTTTTATTACTAACAGTAACCAGAAGATCATCAGGAAGAATTAACTTTATGTTCAATCAACCTAGTGAACCATTTTTTGCAAATTAATTTGGGATGGCGGGAGTATATAACAGTAATACAGTATAACACCAAATGAAAAAACAATCACACGAAGTAAAGGCAGACAGGTATTTACCTAGCTACCCATGCTGACAAGGTTACTCTATATTTCATGGCATTTTTCATATTACACCTCATGAAGGAAGTAGAGATCATTCCTCTAAAGGGGTCAATGAGTCCATCTAATACAGGAGTACAGCACAACTTCAGAAAACAAAACTCACTTGATTTACTGTGCGGTGCAGATGGATTGTCGAAGCCAGCTCACAGTGGACACTAACTATATCAGCCCCAGCTTTTATGAAATCAGGCACTCTCTGTTCAGGTTCTACAATCATCTGTCACAACAGCATTAAAAATTAACTAAAGCATTTCTAAAGATAAAAAATGCCAAATAATTGGTACACAATACTCAATGGGGCATACCAGATGCACATCCAAAGGAAGGTCTGTAATGGGGCGCAGGGCATCGACAACAAGAGGTCCAATTGTTATATTTGGGACAAAGCGTCCATCCATCACATCAACATGGATCCAATCACAACCAGCTTTTTCAACAGCTTTCACCTAAATTCATAGCAACATCAGAGTCAGATATATAATTATAAAAGTCATCATCCACATATTAAGCCTCAGATAAATGCCAAACACAAAGTACTAGAATAATAAAGTAAACGCCAATGAACAGTATAAAGACACCTTCAATGGAAATTGCTAAAAGTTAAAACCACTGAACACAACTGGTAATTTTAGCAGATTTATTAATATTAAATAAAACTAGACCTGCTCTCCTAGCTTCGAAAAATTTGCAGAAAGGATGGATGGAGAAACAATGATGTCACTTTTTGAAAATTTATCAACCCGGGAGCTAGCCCTTACAGTTGTTTGTGAGCCTTTCCTGCATCAATCACATAAAAGAGAACAATGTTATTAAAAAGTATTCCATGAAAAATAAAAATATTACATTCCTTGGTTGATTTATACTTTTGACAGACAACACACTCTCCTTGAAGTGGGAACATCATATGCTCCATCCTAGATAAATTAGTATTGTATTTTACGAGCATTCTCAGCCTAAACTTTTACTTCACTTTACTTTATAGAACTCTACTATGTTATACTTTAGTAGTGAACCCTATTGAGCTCTACTTTAACTCATTCCTTAATATTGATCAAGAACACCGTTTGCTCCATCTTTTTACATTGTTTTTCTTCTTTGCTTACTCCACTTTCTTTTTCTGCTTGCTCTTTGATGAGGAAATACTGGTTGCCCCAAAAAGTAAATTTTGAAAAATAACAGGTTAGTGTGAAATGCTTTAGTGCCAAAACTTAGGTACCATTTACAGTTCAATTTTACATTTTCTTTAGAGTTCAATTTTACACAAACTGGCCCAAAGTGTAGCTTCCTATGTCATCTGCACTAAGTACAAATTTCAGAACCATCAAGCCATGACCTATTAACTCGTAAAGATAAACGTATCAAGTTCCACCAAGACAATGACACACAAAACTTCTTGGGCATAATGAAAATAAATTCCGGAACCATCAAGCCATGACCTATTAACTCGTAAAGTTAAGCCTATCAAGTTCCACCTAAACTTGTAATGAAAATAATGGTTTTGCAACCTTCTTGTTTGCATAATCACGTTTCTCCATTGCGAGAATGTAAGTAGTTCTCCAACACAACCATAATTCTGTAAGATTCCATATGCCCTTGAACAATTCTCCAACACAATCATGTCTATAAGCACGGATTTTCAACTCAGAAGTTTAAACCAATTTACTTTCTCAATGTTCAATTCTAATTTCAGCAGTTCGCCAGAAAATCGAAATAGTACAACGAATAAAAAAATCACACCTATGATTCTTACCGAGAAAGAACGGCAGAATGGCGGTTGGGCTTCTGACGGTTAAGATTCCCGAAGAACACATTAACTTGGGAGTGTTGCAGAGTTGATGATCCCAAAGCAGAAGCTATCGCCATGAATTTATGCCCTATTTCCTTCACAAGCGTGTTCCTTTCGCACACAATGAAGTAGAGAAGAGTTGGTGCTTTATCGAATTATCAGCTGGCTTCCTATGCTTTCGGTTTCGCTGTTCAAACATCACATTTCGCTATTCAGAGTCTACCAGCTGAATTCAAAGATGAAACGCTTGGATGCCACGTAGCAGGTTTGTCCTTCCCCGATTGTAAATTGTTTATCCGCAATGGTTGGCAATCGTTTTGTAAGGGCTGTTTTTATTGACCAATCCGAAAAGATCCATGACTTATTTTTATCCGCGATGCACGGTATAATATATTTTTTAAATAACAAAGTAAGTTTTTGAATCATATGAACAATACATGTAGTTTAATATTTTCCGTTTGAAATATTTTTGGTGTTTGATTAAGCAGTGTGAACATAAAAGTGAATAGCAAGAAGAATAAGAAGCAAACTAGACCAAGTTTTCTATTATGGACTTATAACGATTACCGTGCATCCTTCTCGAGCCAATCTCAAAGGAGATGATGTCAAACATATATATTCTAGGTATTAACATCTTTTCACCTACACTTAATTCCGTCAAAACTTTTGCTTGAGATATATTTTGTCGCTAAAATTTGTTGTTGTATTTTATCGCTGAAAGTTAATATGTATTAGAAAAAATTCCACTTTTGGTCTCATGACTATTATACCACTTCCACATGTAGTCCATTACTTTCAGATTGTCCACATTTAGTCCTTGACCATTATCTCCTCACCACCTCTCGTCCTTCCGGTCAAAAATCCGGCAAATTTAGTCCACTTATCAGCCTCAAAATCGGTCTTTGCATTAAATTTTATATAAGGTTTGGTTTTTCATATCACTCTTTGTATTAAATTTGGTTTTTCATACCAAAAATCTGCATTAAATTTGCCGGAATTTTGGCCGAAAGGACGAGGGGTGGTTAAGAGATAATGGTCACGGACTAAATGTGGACAATCTGAAAGTAAGAGACTAAATGTGGAAGTGGTATAATAGTCATGGAACCAAAAGTGGAATTTTTTCTATAAATTATGTACCCAAATTTGAGAAGTTAGCATTCTTATATATCACTCAAAGGTGCTTCTAACAACGAAGGTGAGCCCAATATTTGCTTATTCCTTTTTAGCATTGGTTTGCTGTTTTTCTCTGAAATTGATTTAAAATTTTTAATATCTTTTTTGTACTTAAATTTCTTAAACATATAAAAATAATCTAACATAGTTGTGTGTTTGTGTGTGTCATAATACATGTCAAATATTCACAAAATTATTCTTAAACATTCATTTAGGAGACATGGCTCATAATTTGAGAAGTTCTATTGCAAGAAATAGTTCTCATCAATTTAACATTGCTTTGAAACCCCATTTCAAAAATTGTATAATTCATTATCCTTATCTAAAATTATGCTCCCTCTCTCTCATAGCATTTTTCTCATTTTGATTTGACACGCTGGTTAAGAAAGTGAGAATAAAGTAGACATGTATTGTTGTGGTTGATTAATAAAAAAGTAAATGAACGATAGTCACACACAGAGCCCGTTTGGTGACCATGTTTTTTCGTTTATCAGGCTTATCTGTCAACTTTTTCATCAAACACTTAAATTTCAATAAAATATTTTTTTTAATTGTAGATGATCATTTTATTTTTTTTCATATAATTTTTTCTTTGTTTAAAATATATGTTGAATTTTTTTTTCTCTAGAAATCAGCAAAATCAACCAATCCAACCACTTCAGCCAGAATTTCGTAAATTTCAACAGAATCAGCCAATACAACCGATTTGACTACTCCCTTCATCCCATTTAAATCTTTACATTTTCTTTTTTGGGACGGCCCATTTAAATTTTTACGTTTCCTTTTTAAGCAACTCTTTTTTCATTAGGTGTCCTAACTACCCTTCACAGCTCACCCATTTTTTACATTTGATGAGATAACAATAATTCACCTGAAAAGTCAAAGGACATGAAAGACATTTGTTCTTCTATTAATTGAGCTCCTAAAACACCGAACCAAAAGCAAACGTAAAGATTCAACCTGGACGAAGGGAGTATTACTCAACAGGCTTCAACTTTTTTAAAGAGAAATGAATTTTTTACGACATTCCAAAATAGTAAGTAAGAAGAATTTTATGACGCAAAAAGAGTATCTATCATTGTATATTACTCTGTATATCATAGAAACAGTCACTTATTAACATTAATTCAAAATCATGCATTTTATAATATTATTTTTGTTGACCAATTAATGTTATTTTAAAATTATTGTTCCTGTTAATAATAATACATTACTTTAAATTACTCCGATTTCATGAAAACTTACTTCCTACCTATATTATACAGAATATATGCTTTCCAACTATTGTTACTAGTTGTTGATCCAGAACAAAATATAGCAAAAATGCCACATCCCAAAGCCCAAAGCCTAAAGCCCATTGTATAAAGTACTACTCCAAACCTAAACTCCTTTTCGAAGAATCGGCAGTAGCGTCCTTAGCCAAAAAACACCGCCTCTTATCTCTCACACCTCATCTTTGCATCTATGTGGTGTAATCGTCTCACAAATAGTCAAACACCCCAAAACAACTTCGCCAACAACCATCGTCATCGTCGCACACATCTGCATTAATCGATCACGTTTTTCACCTTCGTTAGTCATCACCTGCACCCTCTACGGTGATCGGTCGCCACTTTTAGCTATTGTGTTCATTCTCACCAACAACCGGACATCACATCCGGCGTCTTCGACGGCTGACAACACTTTTATTCCCAATCATCAACCCATTTTTGATAGATAAGTGATGCGATTTAATATCTTTAATTTTTTTCATACAATTCAGAAGTACTTTTTATATACTTTTCTCATTTTAAAATATGTATTTAGATTATCACTTAATGGCTATTTGTCGTTGAAGTTAAGCTACAGAGATTAATAACAATCTGATAAGACAATTACTTGTTAAAATATTCAATTGGAATTGGTTGTTCTATTACGTCGATTGTTGGAATTATTTATCTAGAACTGATTTGTAATTGAAAAAAAAAACGAGATAGTAATCCGCATATCCAAAATTATATTATTTCTAGATTTTATCACAAACACTTGTACAAATATTTGTTCAGTAATTATTGTGAATTTGCATTATGAAGAACCAACAGAGGAAAGAAGCGTCTCAATGAAGTTTTTCTTGAAATTTGTTCACCATTTTTTTTCCTGACAGATCTGCAAAGCCATCAAGTTACTTAAGATGTGCACAATAGTCTGTTCAATGTGTAGAAAAGTATAAATCTCCCAACCATATAAAACTTAGAGTAAGAGATTAGATATACACTACCTTTAAATTATACGAGTAATTGATTAGCGATCTTTATTGTCTGATATGATCACAAATTGCCGAATGCTTATTCTTCTGAATAGAATTTTCATTTGAGATGCGTTTCTTTATTTGTACCATATGCCAAAGGTAGTTGTTGTAAAGCTGAAATGTAAGAAACTCAAAGGAAAAGAAAATGAATAAATGTTCAGTCAAATAGCAGGTTTAGTGCATTAACGATGAAACAAAATCTAAAAGATTTGGAGGTAGAAATAATATTGATACAATTGTACTTATGATGGATTATATGGCCCAGGAACCCCGGTCCATAGACTCCCACAATTCTAATACAGGCCCAACGGGCCCATGAAGCACAGCAGGCCCAAGTCACGACGCCCCAAGAGACAGGAGGCCCACGCTGCACACGCAGCCGCCTTCGGTCCCCTGGCCGAAGGCCCCAAAATCTCACAGGACAACTGTTTTAGGCTTACGAAAGCTGCTAGGAGAAAACGGCGAAAATAGTAGCCCTCAACACCTAGAGCCCTCGACACCTAGAGGCCCCAGGGATGAAGAGCCTTCGGCTAATCATCTATAGCCGAAGGCATCTCCTCGACAGAATCTCCCACCCACATGCGTTGGATCAACGTACCGAGTACAGACGTCACATCCAACCACAGCATTTAATGCGGCCACATGCGAGTGCCAGTGCTGTGACACCGTCCCCAAGCATGTTTACTTTTAGTAAATGATGTAGTAAACCTTGAAAGATGATTCATGAATTTACGTAATTGTTAAAATTTTATTATTTCTTTTACGTGAATAGTAAATTGCATGTGGGGCCCACAGCGGGAACGAGGACCGCCCGATAATTCCCGAACCACATATTATATTCATCTTGGTCTAGATGACATCTATATGGTGGTGGATATCCTATTTGGGCCATAAGAAAGTCATGGAGTTGACCGGTCGGTCAAACGGGGCCCAATTACCAGTATTGGTAATTTAGCGGATAACAGCCCGAAGTGAGTTTCGGAGACTCCTAAATTAATTTTGGGGAATGTACATCTATTCTGAAGGCCTATAATTATTGGGAACACGTGATATATTTTATTTGGTCCGATAAAATAAAATGTGATTAAAACGGGCCGAGAAATACAACTTTCGGGGCCGATTGTACACACTCGGGACTTTTCTTATATGAGTTGTACACTCTAAATAATGGGAAGGGGGCTAGACATGAGGGGAGGGGCGGACATGACATAAGGAGCTTCATTGAGACAAAAGTCACACCCCCCATGACCCCATTTCATTGAATAAGTGGGAGGGATTGAGATGAAATGCCCCCCATCATTTGCATCATCCTCACCACTCAAATAAGGTAGGAGAGGAGCTCTGGGAAGGCCTCTATCAAAGTTCAAGCTCAGGGAAGCAAGAGGAAAAGATCTAACAAAAAGGAGTTGAGTTCAAGGTAAGAACTCTACAAAAAACTCTTTTAACTAGTTTTATCATGTATGATTTTTAAGAAATCATATAGTGGATTAAACATGAAGTTCTACACATTTAAAAAGTGTAGAATGTTGATATATAATGGTGGTAATTAACTTAGAAGAGTTGGTGAATCGATAGGAGTCAAAATCGCCGGAAATCGCCACATATAGGAAGTTGTTCGTGTTGCAGGAGGACGAACGTCGCCCGGCTTTCGTGAAAGCCGCCCGGCTTTTGGCCAGGCAGTCTAGTTTTGCCTTCTTATCTGTTTAAAATGAGGATTAATCGGGGAGCTTAACAAATGCAACTATTTCAGCACATCATAAGGTGAGGATGGCTGACTATATTGCTTATAATTAGTGAATTAATTTCATAAGATTGCCTAAGGTAATTAAATGGGATTTTCATGGATTATT